ACCCCCCCCCCCCCTCCTTTTTTTTAACACTGAAAAAGCAAAAGCTTTATGCACAGTGTTATATGTGAGTCAGAGCTCAAAGTGACGCATTTAAAGTGGAGAGATAATTAGACAGCAGCAGATTGGAAAACGGTCTCTGTTTAGCAGAGACAAATAAGCCCTGGAGCTCAACCTCCAAGGTCATGCTGTTCAACTCTTGAAGAACAAAAACATATACACAACAAAAGCCAGCCTCTGCTATAAACGATCACTGGGTACATCAAGCACAAACATTTATACATAGGCTGTAACACGCAGGGATTGGCTGCACACATCGTGTCAGGTTTAATATCATCGTAAATACATCAAATTCTGCCAAGTCATATTAAAAAAAAAGGGGGGAAAAAGGAAATGGCTAAGGGCTATATCCTACACAACCTCATTTCCCTTCAAAACATATCATTTTATTTCATGTTTGCTTTCTGGTATCTGAGGTAATCTATCATTTCTGATGTACAGTATGCCAGCTGACTTTTTGATAAGAGGAAAAAAAAAAAGACCTCCAACTCAGAGCTGCTTTTGTGGTGCACCTTGTACATACATTTCCTTTTCCTATACAGATGGATGTATTTGCTGATATCTGGAATATTCCTTTTTGTACTTCCTATAGGAAATGTCATCGGGAGCAGCACATTCTGATACAATACAGTCACTATTTGTAGTTACGAGTGGCTTTTGGTGAGCCTACACCCCCCAACACACGCACACACTCCCATTGTACTGTGCCAAGTCAGTCCTATCTGGGTTGCATGTTCTTGACATGCTTGTTCAAAGAAGACATGGCACAACAAGAGGGTCACCCATTATTTAAGTTGCAGTGCCCATCCAAAGAGAGCTTCTTTTGAATGAGCCGACAGCACACTTGCTCTGATAAAACCACTACAGTGATAAAATAGAAAACAGAAAGTAGGACAGCTGATAGCTACAAAGATTTGAGTTCAGAAAAAAAAATTGCAAACAGTGTATATATATCACATTCACAATCAAATATGAGAGAGCCCTCCTTTCTACTGCCGTGCCCAACTTTTCTACAGTTTTATTATGTCTGTGAAGGTTCTCAGTCATCCAGGTCATCGAAGTCAAAGGAGCTTGTAAAGAAAAGCAGGAATTCGCATGATAAGGTGGGGCCAGGTTTCACAATGAGCTCACCCGAAACCCTGGCTTATTGGGACCCACACCCATTTTCACACCTTGGCTCAGGCGATTAGAGGATGATCAGGGGGTCCTTTTGTCCCTCTTTGGGGGGGATACTCCCACTAGGTTTAAATCTGGGACTCCCCACCATTTGACCTTAGAACTGAAGAAGCTTCTCGGATGAGAGGTGAAACATCTTCAAGCAACTTAAAGATGTCCAGACGCTTTTCTTTACAAGCTCCTTTGACTACAGTTTTATTAATTAACCTCTGCTGTTGGGTGGTGTGTCATCGGTCACACGTGGCACCACCTATCAGCAGAGGTTAATTAATAAGCATACCCTAGATGTAGCTACAATTTTTAAATCTAAATAGCCTTACATGCCTGTTGGTAGACACTACAATGTTGGTACTATCAGTGTTCAATAATGCAATCTATCAGGACAAGCTACAATTAACTGAAGTTCCTGAAATACTTCACATGCAGATGGTAAAAGAAAACAACTGACAGCCACTTTACATTCAACACCCCGCTTCCTTTCATCCCCGGCAGTGTGAAATAAACTGTAAGAAGATTTGCTGAGAAATACAAAGGACCCGCATGCACACATACAGAGACTCCTTCATTTATTAGTAAGATAAAGGCTATAGCAGATGTCCTTTGCAAATGGCAAGAGTTTCATTCTTGATTGCTGCCACACATTAAGGAGCATTCAGTCTAGGGTGCCAGTACCATACCCACATTTTTGCAATTTCACCGTCGGCAGACAATTATTCAGTAATTGTAGATGTTTAGCTTTATTTTCTGCGCGTTTGATGATGAATGTGTGTGCTGGCATTACAGCAGAAGTTTATCTTGTGCAGCTGTAACAATATTTTTTTTTAACCTCTGTATGTATGTATATATTTCTATGACTTTGGAATTTTTCAACTTAATTATTATATTATTAATGTGTATTTAACTGGTTCCAAGGCTGGTATGCTTTATGCTTATTTATAAAGGGAAACACATATTAGGTTTGGAATCCATGTTCTTTGACAGAGGATTCAATGCAAAACCTTAGTGTACAAAAAATGTATGCTAAGCTACAAATCTATATTTCTCATCTATAAATTGTATTACTGAAAGAAATGCTTTGTTTTCCAACAGCTGTTCAAATTGGCTATTAAAGTAAATTCTTCAGTCTTATTAGGGAGCACACCATCAAAGGAGCCATATGCACAACAGCTTTATAATGGCTGTACATTATCCGGTGCCCTTTAACACTACACTGAACACAAAATTATGTGGCAAAAATAAATCTAATTACCCAGCCATTCAGCATCAAAAGCTGTGCCTGCAGAGATGGCTCCAAAGAGGAGGGCCAAGAAACAAACACAGGAGGCTTCTAGCTGTGTGTTTGGAGATAGGACAGAAAGGCTCACTAACAGCCACTTCCTGTTTTCATATGCTGCTAAATTTAAACTAATTATCAACAATTTGACATAAGAGGGGGTAAAAACCGTATTCTATGACCCCACTCTGTAAGAGGAGCATTACACAACTGCAATTCCAATTTTAGACGGCGACTAGGAATGGCTGGCATAAATGATGCATTCAAAGTCACTAATACCTCAATCTATGCATGATATTAAACGTGAAATTTGTGCTTTAATACGTGGAGACAATCAATAATTCAGAGGGGCGTCAGTCTTTACAGCCATGTTACAGGAACTGAACCACTTCCAGTCAGTTTTCTCATGTTAAGCCGGTTCCGTAATGCGATCGTAAGACGCTCCCTATCGCATAAAATCCCATGTGTTTTGAACACCATAATCCCAATTTATTAAAAACCCTTTCTGTATTGCAAATGTCATAGGCTGTCAAAATGAGGCAAGACACAGATTTCTATCATCAGGGGTACTTTCTCACCAATTATGGCATACGGCTATTTTCTAGTAGACGTGTGAAGACAACAATCTGTAGCAATGTGGCAGCTAGCAAAAGATTATTTAAATAAATGCAAACTAAAGACGATGCACTGTTTCTCATTTTCCTTGGATCCAGAATTTACTTTAAAATATGAAGAGGATTTACTTTGATCCAATGATCTGCCTCAAACTAGTATCGTGTCTTGACTTGAAAACTAATGTTTTTGTGCATCAATATGTTCCCTTAGCTCAGTACAAAGGCTTATGACAGAAATACCTGCAAATTTTTTTAAAGAACTACCAAATCCTTGTCATAAATAATTTGGATAAATATGAGGAAGGGGAGGGGAGACTTACATGCTGGTGTTTATGGATTAAAAAAAAAAAATGCTAGAAAACTAGTTCAAGCATAAACTTAGTATCTACCAAGGCAATTCACTAATCTCTCGCCAACATTCATTGTTGACCTTCAACACTCCATATCGCACATTTATCAGATTGCATGGTAGCAACATGGCATTTTACCTCTACAGGGAACCTTCTGCCATTTATGCTGTGTTCTGAGCCTGCTGATCCATTACTCTGGCCCCAGTGAAACTCCATCTTCTCAGCCTTAAAGCGCCCTGGCAGTCCAGCCCCTGCTACAAAGTACTCATCCTTCAGGAGTATAGCAACTGGAGAAAAAAAGAAAAGAGAATCGAATCAAACAAGGGAAGAAAATAAGCACACTTGTGTTAAGGCAGGGCAAAGCAGATTACTCATCAAAGAACATGGTCTACAGAAGCTCAGATGGGCAGTCTAAAGTTAGAAAAAATAATTTCTGTGCCTATTAACTCAAGATCACGGCTTCATTTTCATTACCCGAATCCTGATTTGTCTTTTATTTTATTTTTTCCCCCAATGACAACTAACTCACAGGCGAGACCAATGTGACAAATCAAACTTGCAGAGAGTAGCTAAGTAGCTGTTTTTGCTTTAATGATTAATGCTCGGATGAATTGTCCAAACTCAACAATTGTTTTCTACAACTTGCATTTATTAAACGGATTAACTAAGCTGCGTAGACTGCAGACTTATTCTGAAATAATTAAACTAAAAAATATATATTCATTAAAAACTAAACTATCTGGCAATAAGAAATGTAAAAACCTCAAATTATCTTAAATCCTTTGGGGAGTGACTGATGCAGGAGACATTTTCTAACAGTCAGCCCATAAATTGTCATGATTTGTTTTTGTAAGACCTGTAATGCATTTATTAGTGTTCAGACCCTTTCACATTTTCCACAATTTCAAATTTATTACACAAAAAACACATTTTGAGACTATTTTTAAAATATTAAAGATATAAGAATGAAATTTTCAATTTCCTTAACATAATTAGCAAGTGTAGACACCGCTCTATACAGTGTGCCATAGTGAAATGGATGTATAAGAATGAAAACAAATAATTGAGGGTAAGAGAACTCCACGGGTTTGACAGGATTGTGAAAAGGTACAGATCTAGAGAAAGACATCATATTTCTGCAGCAGTGAAAGTGCCACAGAGCTCTGTATCCTCAAATCATCTTCAAGTTTTGCAGCCACCAGTCATCCTCAGTGTGAGTTTTGCAGGCTAACAGGAACACAACAGTAACTCTTTTGTGCAGACTGGAGAACCTTAATGAACAACAACCATCAGTGCAGCACTCAGCTAATCAGGCATTAATGGTAAAGTGGCCAGAAGGAATCCATACTTCACTAAAAGGTAGACTGAACTCCCAACGTGTGCGGAAGAAGCCAGGCACTGAGCACCGCCTCATTAATACATTCCCTACAGTCAAACACGGTGGTGACAGGATCGTGCAAGGAGCGGGAGACTAATCAGGATGGAAGTAAAGATATATGCAGCAATCTTAAGTGAAAATCGTTTCCAGAAACAGTCGTGATCTCGGACCGAGCGAAAACTAGAAAAAGTTGTACCCAGCTAGATCTCAAACATTAACCTGCCAAAGCATCTGTAGAAAGAACAGCAGTGCATCGATGCTGCCCCTCCAGCATTGTTGAGCTTTGTCAATTGTGCCAAGAAGAATGCGAAAAACTTGCAAAAGAAAAGTCTGCCAACCTTGTACAATCATTCCAAGAACACTGCTACTTAAAGGAAAAAAAAAAAAAAAATCAACCCTATGATTAATTATCTAAATACTATGTCAACTCCATGCTAATAAACAAAAACTTGTTTTTCCATTGAGCATTATGCGTGTGCAGATTAATAAGAAAAAACTCTGCCTCTATAGAATGATTCATAAATGAATCTGCAGAATTCGGTGGTGAGCAGATGAGCAATGATCACAATGACGCATCTCAGAGAAAGCATGCACCGGCCGCCTCCGCTGACCTCGACATTCCACTAATCGACTCCAAGACGCCGCTTTAAAAGTAAAAGCCAGAGTTTCTTTAAGTTGTTGCATGACTCGCTAAAAGACACAACAGCCTTCTCTCGCATTGTGAGCTTCTTCCATGCGCTAGCTTTTCCACAAGGCTTTAATGCCATTGCCTTTTCTTAATAGCAGCCATTATTGCATTCTCTCTCAAAGGATTATAAACAGTTTCTGCAAGCAAACTTTAATTACATTTTGTGGGGAAAATTAAGCTTTTTGTAGCATTTTAAATCGTTCTATATTAGATAAGTTCATTACAATACTATTTAAGTAAAAGAATTTAATTAGCTTACATACATTAATGTGACTTTAACAGGTCTACAATTATAAATTTGCCCCCCCCCTCCCCCTAAAAAAAAATCAGTTAATCTATTTCTAGAAGCTCATCTGAATGTTGTTGCTACCTCTTTGAATTTACATCTGAACTTGTGATTTTATTGCAGAATGAACTAGCACATTCCCTACAAGCCTGCCATTTCTATCAGGGTTTTCATGCAGGATGTAATTAACTCACAGCGGTATTCAATACAGACATTTTTTTTTGCCTCAGTTCTCTGAACTGAGTATCAAAAGCCTAAGAGACAGAAAATGAAGCAGTATAAAAATATTTCCAGCTTGAGAACTTTATGCAAAGTTAAACTATGTAGAAAATTACTTAAACATCAAGAATATCATACTCAAAAACTGATACTTATGGACCATGTTGGTATTTGAGAGAGAAAAAAAGAAAACTGGTTGTATCAATAGTCTCACACGGGCAGCGCACCAAAGCTTTTCAATGTGGAAATTCTACACCTTTTAACAAACTACTTGTCAATAAGGTCATGTGACACAGTTGCTGTAGATTTGTTGGCGCCACATCCATGAATCCTTTGTTCCGCCAAATCTCAAAGGTGCTCTGTCGGATTGAGATCTGGCGATTGTGGATGGTAGGGCTGGGCCATATCATACCAGGGCTCGCAAAATCGCTAGCCCGACGTCCTGGGGCTAGCGATTTTTCCAGTCGGGCTACCAAAATCTAACTCAGCCCTGCCCGTTGGGCTATCATAGGAAAATATATGCCAGTGCTTTTGCATTCTTTCGCCAATGTAGCTGAGTAATTATGTCATTGGCATCGATAAGCCACTGTCAATATGTGACATATTGAAATCGCGTTTGAATTTTCGCTTGCTTTTTGCTTTCATTTTCATTTTGCGATCGCACGAACGGTGTATAGAGAGCGGCAGCACTGATTGGTGAGTGACGATTAATTGCGCACCAATTCCTCTGACATCGTCTTATCACTCATTAGCTTACTATTCAAACGCGACAAGTGAAATCTCTCGCAGCAAGCTTAAACATGTGAGAGGTTGAGTGCGCAAAGAATCGCTGATCATTATGTAAGTATGTGTGTAAAAGCAGCAGGATTTACGCTGGTATTTTAGTTTTGCAGAGCCAAATAAGACAGGTCAGGGTGAAGAAGAGGCAGCCAAAGAAAAGCCGATTACAAAACGGAAAAGATATGACAAATCGAGCCCGTTCTCACTCCCGAGGCCTAACATGGCGACGTTTTGTCACGTCCCGCGGCGTTCCTTAGGAACGCGAAAGGAGATCTTTCGGCGTTCTTATGGTACGCGGCGGGTTATGGCTGAAATCCAGTGCAATGACGCTCCCGCGGTAATCAACGTTCCAGCCCTGTATTCCAGCCCTAAACCTAACCTTATCCCTAGCCCTAACCATAACCTTTTTCCTCACCTTAAACAGGACTTAAATGATGTTAAATAGCGTGTTTCTAAGCTATTTGAAGGAAAAGAGCGAACATGTGTAGATTGAGTCCATACGGTTCTCACATTTCCTCATTTTTCCGTCGTCATTTAGGAATGTGGTGGGTGGCCGAAAACGTAATATGTTGACGATTTGTCACCTAGCCTAAAATGTTACGCTTTGGGAGTGAGAACGTGTTGGACAAATCAGACTATGAGGCAAAAAGAAAGCGCAGCTTTTTTGGTTTCATGGACAAAAGAATTTCTGTGGCTGGAATATGACGAGCTAAATATCATGATGTTCTGCAAGGTGTGTTGTGAGTTTCATTTGATTTCTGAGTCGACAAGCGCCTTTGTTACTGGGACCAGTCATTTTAAGAAAGACCCCATCAGAACCCATGAGAAATGCAAGAAATGCATTATTGCCCAGTCTGCAGTATGTTTCCCAGAACAAACACCAATTGCAAAAAAACATACTACAAATAAACCAAGCACAACAAGAACTCCTGAAAAAGCTGTTTAGAACAGCTGCTATATTGCAAAGAGTGAACTACCATTGGCAGAATTTAGCAGTCTTTGCAAACTTCAAAAAGCAAATGGCCTAGATCTTGGTTCCACTTATTTCTTACCCGTGACTTCAGTTAAAATTTCAGATTCAGGATCTGACACAGACTGATTCATGTTCTACACAGTTCTTACAAGTTCATAGAAATTTCTGTTCAATTAGAACCAAGTATTTGAGTTGATGATTGTAATTTTTATACAGTTGTTGTGATTTGTATTTTAACAATTTTTTTGATTAATTTTTGTTTCCATTACAATATTATACTTTAATGTATAATATTGTAAAGGAAACAAAACGTAAAAAAAAATTCTTTTTTTATTCAGGCTACTTAAATTTATTTTGGGCTACCAAAAACTGAAGAATGCCTGCCCGAAGGGCTACCAGAAATTTTGAAATTTTGCGAGCCTTGCATACCGTTCACGGTAATACCAGTATAATGTCGAGCAACGATAAGAAAATGAAATATCGCGATAGAATATGGGTAAAACGAGCATGCACAGTGCCTTTGTTTTCATACGCACATGGCGGAAAAAGCATGGCGG